AAAAAAATAACTCTTGCACGCCTTGCGTGCCTATGTTCCTTTTAGAGCCAATGCTCTGAAGAAAATTGAGTGGTTCCAGAAAATACCCACACCCACCCCTAGAAGGGTATTGGAAATTCCAAAGGAGGGGATGGGGTTCAAAAGCAAACAGTTTTAGTAAGAGTCAAACTGCAGTTCAAACCAAAAAGACGGGTTTCATTAAAGGCCGGGCATCGGGCAAATTGGCCAGCTTTGAGGACAATTTTGCCCAGCTAGTTTGACCATATAGAGGAACGTTTTTCTTATATTAGATGTTCAGCTCAGATAATTTTGCCCACCTGTGAAAACCAGTTGCCCTCTACAGAAAATGTTAACGACAACCCAGGTTGGAACGGTATGGTTATTTTCTGAAACAGCACATTTCTGGGTTATTTCATCGCACTTTGAAGACCTCATTTCCAACTACCAAGAAGAAAGTTGAGGATATGATGTGTAGCAGCTATTCTCTCATAGTAGTATAATTTTACTCACATTCTATAACAAGTGCCATTCTCTGATTGGCTACACTACTCACTACCTATTCTGTTATAGATATAGAGTGGTGCAGCAGTGTGCAGCTGTGAACAAAATGATGGCTGCTTAGTGTTTTCGAGGTGTCTGTGAAGAGGATTTCGATAATGTTTTGAATTGCTTTCCTTTTTTCAACGCAGCTCACTTTTTTAAAGAAATAGAAAACATGTTCTTGGTGATTCTATCAAGTTATGAAAACACTCATAGAAGTTTGGGAGAACTTGAAAAAGCTGTGGAAACACTTGCCTATTGGCTCTGGTGTTCCCACAGCATTTCTTCTTCTCCCAAACTTCCACTTGTGTTTTTATAACTCGATACAAAAACTACTTGTTTTTTATTTCTTAACTACAAAACATCTTTCATTGACCAAGCTTCAGGACCACTGTATTGTTCTTCCCAGAACTATATACCACCAAACAAGTATACTTAGACATTCAAAAGTTTTATTAAAATGGCAACCTCCTGTTGCTACAAACAAATTCCAATAGCCCCAAAAACTGTAAATTAAATATAAAAGATGTTCACTAAAAAGGAAAGGATGGAATGACACACAATTATAATATAACTTATTCCACTAGTATTATTGGATAACCTACGTGCAAAATTTACGACAGAGCTTGACAAAGATCCAAAGCAAGCAATTTCGTAAATAAACCTAAGACAAAACAAGAAGTACCGTAGTAAAAGCACTGATGGTCAACCTGTAAATAAAACAGTGTCCAATAGCTTGGAGCTAGTGAATTCTGTCCTCCACTTGCCCAACAGGCCTGTGAAGTTTCTTACGAAAATTATTTTTATGAAATTCAAATTACAGAACTTCTGTAAGACACGAAATTTTGTGGCCCTAGCTAGTGAAACAACTTTTGGGTAAGTAAATCAGCCGGTTGCACCCCAGTAATACACTTGTACTCAGTCACTTATTGCCATTGTGGGGAAATGTTCAAATTCTTTTAGGATAGGTGCTGTTTGGCAATATCAGAACATTACTTTGGGGTGCCCAGTGATCTCACCTAATTGTCCGGAAGTAATGGAATCACGCAAAAATGTTTGATGATTACTTCAACTTTCAGTCATCTCCCAACATTTTTCAGGGATCAAAGAGTGCAAAGTCCTGTGGGCCAAAGCAAGATGGAAAATATTGAGGGTTTGATCCCAGCCCTTCCAGCACTACTGTTCATAATGCATCTAAGCTCCAGTTCAAGCAGCTGAAAGCCCAGACACAACTCAGGGCTTTATAACCTTAGTTACCTAGTTAAGGACCTCAAAGGGGTTGACATTTTTTTCTTGAATACTGAACAGTAAAGCTTTCCACACCACAACTCATTATGCCTTCAAGTCTCAATCCCTTGGTTACGTTACTCTGCAATTGCCCTGGTGTACCTCAGTTAATTTAACTTGCACATTTGAGGCTTGAATAGGTTGACAATGACTCCATTTTTCCTTTCCTGTCCTTTTTCTATATTAATCTTTTTATTGAAAGATGGGCCCAAGCCTCTGAAAACTACTGCGAATTAGCTTAGTACCTAATATTAAGTTAAAAAAACATAAGTTACCACTGAAATGCTGTTTTTCCTTTTTAGTGACAACAACTGGGCAAACCAGTGGTCATCAATTGAAAGATCTGGTTCTGGATAAACAAATTATGTAAAATCGGCATTTTATCCTGTAAGGAAAGTGACAGAACTTTGTCTGATAATTATAGTAAACGATATCAGACAAAATCACATCAAGCACATTATATTATAAGACATCAGTCTCATGATTTTCAAGCCTGCTCTGAAATAAGTTAAAATCAAGGTTCTGAGGTTAAGTTATAGCAGTTTATGAGTTGATGACTTTACACAATTGTGGTAGTTGTTAAAAGGGCTCTTGATTTCTAAACATTTGCCAATAAGCCTAAAGCAATTAATAAGTACATGACTAGAGGAAAAGAAGCTAATCAGAAAAGTTTTGCAAAGTATTGAGCCTTGGAGGGAACTGAAAAATGTCCAAACTAATTCTTGGATGATCTGGAGCCATGTAGCATGAGCTGTGACGAATGTTAGTTCTCCTTTCTTGTCCTTCGTCTTGTTTTCATCCTACAAAGAAAAACAAGATGATTCAAGAGTCAAGAACGTTTTACTTTAAGCTTTTTGACGATACATTTCTCTTTGTCACTCACTCATTCAACCTCCTTGAACACTAAATTACTGTCAGTACTACCTATGATCGGATATTCCGAGAGGTTGAGAAAAGAAGTTACCTTTTACATTTTAGTTACATTTTAGAAATTATGACATGAAAAGAGCTTTCAGTAAGATTTGAAGCAGGTGGACCTCCCAAGAGGTTTGTTCCTTCAGCACTCTAGTTGGTGTCAACCATCTACTTTATGAAACTAACCCTCTTTGCCCTATAAAATTAATGAGAACCCTAGCAGAACACCTGCTGGAGCTACTATGGCTGATGAATCTTATTGAAAGCACTGCAAAAAGTAGCAAGGTAAATCAAAGCTGGACTGCAGTGTTCTCAGTTACATGTATACCCATCACACCAGTAAGTGTTTACGCTCTGCAATAATTGGTACAACACAAATTGAGGAAGCCCGGCTGGCTTTATGTGCCAGTTTGTTATGATGATCTGTATATTGAAACAGGTAATTGACAGCTATGAAGTGCATCACTTTTTAATCCCTAACCTGCCACTGTCCTCTTCATCAACCTCATCCTTGCCAGCAGCTTCTTCTTCTTCTTCTTCTTCTTCATTTCCCTCGGCCTCCTGTTATGTACATCACAACAAATCAACATTAATTTCAAGCATAACATATAGCTGCTGTCACTCTACAATTGAGTTTGGATCAGATGCTTGGTGCAGTTGACCATTTTGACCATTGTCCTTCTGGTGTCTGGAAAGAGCTTTTTTTTTTCCTCCAGTGGAGGCAGGTAAAAGAGCACTTAATCAACAAAAGGTGGGAGGGGCAGTGGCCTCATGGCTAGTGCACTCATCTCCAGATCAAGCAGTCCGGGTTTGAGTCCTGGCTGGGGACATTGTGTTTTGTTCTTGGGCAAGACACTTTACTCTCGCAGTGCCTCTCTCCACCCCGGTGTATAAATGGGTAACAACAAATTTAATGCTAGGGGTAACCCTGCGATGGACTGCATCTCATCCAGGGAGGAGAAGAAATACTGTCTCCTAATTGCTTCATGCTAGAGATGGTGGGATAAGCTTCGGCCTGATGGGCCACCTGGCTTGTATGCAGACTTAACCTAATCAACGAAAGGCCATATTCCTGAAAATCTGTACTATTAGACACTGTAACAACTACGAAATAATACCTTGACAATTTCACAGAGTTGAGGTATTATACAATTTAAAACATTACTGTTTAAACTCCCCGTATCCACTTTTCAAAGCCTTCAATTTTGATTTCTAGATTCAACAACATAGTTCAAAGATAATCAAGTGTTTAAAATAAAAAATCAATTTTCTTGTCTGGTTTTCAACAATAAATCAGTAATTGTCTCACCTTTTCCTCATCTTCATTTTTCTCTTCAGCCTAAAAGACAAATGCACAAAGACAGTTACTGTCTGTTGGTCTACAAACATCTTGTTGTTTGTTTTATTTTCCTTGAAATACAAAAATTAACCAACCTTTTCATCACCCGCTTCAGGTGTTTCTTCTTCTTCTTCTCCTTCTTGTGTTGGTGTTTCAGTCTGAGTAAAAAATAATTAATGTTGTAACAGCAATCACAACTCAAAAAAGTGTCCATAGTCTAGGTTAGGTGCCAGATGTGGAGGGAAATGAATGCAAAACTACCTTGATCATTTGTACTAAAGGCATCCACGGTCAAGTGTTGATTGGGGGTCAATCAAGGGTATCAATTAAGGATATCAATCAACAGTTGACCATAGATGCCTTTAGTACACATGATCCAACTAACTTTGAGTGATCCTTCAAAGGTGCACTCATCTACTGTGTGGGAACTCTTTTCACATATCTTACAACCCTAAATTTGAAACTTTTTGCAAGGAAATAAAGCAGTATCCTGATTGTTCTATCACTTAAGGGAACTAAAATTTGTTTGAAAAATTGGAGGTTTGAAAAATCATTTAACAGTAGCTTTTGCATTTTGAGCTAGAGGAACAAAATAATAATAGTTAGATTTGACAAGAATACTGTAAATAAATATGAAACAAGAAACTGTGGAATCTCAGTTTTTCAAACTCTCAATTGGAACTCCCAAATATTTGAGGCACTTGTTGCTTCAAATCATTGGGAGGTTTAAAACATTGAAAGCTGGAAAAATTGAGATTCCCCACTGTTTCTTGTTTTACATTTATTTTACAGTGTTCTTATCATGTCTGCCAGTTACTTAAAATTAATGTTTCAGACAATGCCAATTTATTGTTGCCAAATCAGAGAGATAAAAAAAAGAAAGCCAGTGTAGACAAAGATCACTGTAGAATCCTTATTACCATTTGCTGATTCATGGGTAAAATCAAAGTAAGTTTGTTATCACCTGGCTGGGTTGTTTGAAAGCTGGCTACTGCTAACCAAGGATTAAAAGTTAGCCACAGTATTAATTTTTCTTCTATAAATTAAAATGTTTCTTTTTTTCTTATGTTTTATGTAGTTCGAGATTTCTCAAACTCAAAAGTGAAGGACAAACAATGTAAACAGAAAACCTCACTGAAAGGTTACAAAACTGAAATCATAATTCGCGCTAATCCTGGGTTAGCTCAATCACGCTTTGAACAACCCAGCCAAGAATGTTCAACCAGTATATATGTATGTAGCTAGATTACATATGTACATAACTGTGCCCACTCTCAGGATTTCTTTTACAACACAATACCTTGTCTTCTTCAGGAACAACATCTTCGGTTGGTTCATCAGTCTTCTTCTTCTTGGCAGCATCACTCTGCAATCAACATGTATCTTGCACATTCTTCTTACAAACCTACTGACATTTCTAACAGTAGCATTTGGGAGAATATACTAGAAGTAACTTCTTTATTTTAAGTCGGTGGAGAAAGCAAATAAAAATAATTAATTACTAAAACCACCATTGCCAAAAACAATGAGATCTGGTGCAGGGGAAGAAGGGATGAGAAGGTATGAAATTAAAACCATGTTACAATGCAGTAGAAGATGAAGAAGGTGGTAGTGGATGTTCTGATCATCCCTGTGAGGACATGGAACAAGTCAGGACAAGACAATGAATGAAAGATCTAGAAACTAAAAACAACACCGTGCTGGTTTCTAAAATGTATGTAAATGTTGAAGTCAGTTTAAAATGCCTAATCCTATTTCAATACTTTTTCTATTTGGTAACAAGGTTAAGGAACTTATAAAATTATAGACTAAGCACCCTTAGCCTCACTCTCAACCACCTTCAATATCTATTGTTTAAGTATTAACATCGAAAGATCATTAATTAAAAGATATATCGTTATATTATTTACCTTGCTTCCAGGGAAACAGCAAGCAGCAATTAAAACAAATGGCAAAATAACAACGATGACAAACAGCACCCACAGCCATGGTCGCTCGTTTGTTGCGTCCAGCAAGTTCCTAACTACTCCACCCTAAAAAAAAAA